GAGGTGAAATTGTAGATAGAGGGGAGTTGGAGGGTTCTTGCTGGTTTTGGTGTACTATTGCCCCCCCCACGCATTGTGTTGTGTTGTCTGTCAGATTGACATTTTTCATGTTCTCTTTTTTTTTTCGCTTAAAAACCACAAAAACCGCCAGATTGTTTGTCTTAACAGCAGCAGCGGTCTCTGCTCTGCTGTCAATCACAGGCTACAGGCACCGATGTGGGTCCCAGCCGCCACATCCCATTCCGATGATGTTTCCCATTTGAACCTCATTTGACGTGGTATTTATACCCAACTCCCGCATGCCCCATGCCACCATACTCCTCGCATCAAGCTAATATCTGCTGTCACAGAAGACAGACTCCGCTCCAGAGCCAATTACTTGCATCCCAGAAAACATCCATTGGCATTCACGCACTTTCCAGCGTATTTTCAACTTTTTCATCTCTCTCTTTCTGTTTCTTTTCTTTTTGGCAAAATCCGGGAAGCAAAAGTCGGCCCATTTGATGAATGGCCTGTCACTCGCTGAGCCTGCCACTGTAGCTTCCTACTTGAATGTACATTTTGCCAGAAGAAAGCAATGTCAAGTGTCGAAAAATGAAGCATTTTCCCACTCCAAAGTGGGAATTCTCGAGCCAAATCTTTAATTGTAGCCACCACATGAAGAGCTCTGCCAGAATGCCATCACTTCATCTGGCATTATTGCTCGATATTTTCTGTTATATTTTGCGTATGGCTCAATATGTTAGATTGAATTGGTGGTCAAACTTCGCTGCAGATTAATTCATATTTTTGTTGGATTATTTTGGGAATTGTCCATCCACCCATCAGCAGCAGTCGCGTTTTAGCATTTATTTCCGTGGCTACGTTTTTGCGGTTCCCTTCTAAGCTAATTAACTGCATTTTTGATTATACTGTCTGGCCATTGGCTGTAGCCAGAGCCCCACCATGGTCCATGGTCCATGGTCTAGTGCAAACCAAAGAACTTGTGTGCTGCTCACATTAAGTAAGAACCCATCTCATGTCTGACGGGGATTTCATGCAACATACATACACATTTACATATTAATTTTATGTATGTACGTACATATCTCCATTTCCATCTGGCTCTGTGGCACGGGGCGTGACTACCCTTGGTATCCCCCGCCCTTGAAGGGAGTCTCTCTCTCTGTTTGTGTTCTTTGTCTGTTATGTAATGGCATGTTAGGTGTATAACTTTTATTATTATGATTATACTTTTGCACCGGCTTCAACTTCAACTGCCATGGACAATGTCGGGTGTTGTTGTGCCTCCTCCACCTCCAGGGCTGCTGTTGCCCTGTTCTGGATCTGTGCGGGTGCTCTCTCTCTCTCTCTCTCTCTCTCTCTCTCTCTTTGGCTCTCGAGAGATATGTACGTGAAAGTCACGTGAGTCATTAAAATGAAATAGCAGTCGAGACTAAGTAGAGGAGCATGACGAAGGGTGCACCCAGCACCCAGCACATGGCAGGCGGAATGCTGCACTGGCGCACAGGAAGCGAAAGGCAGAGCCAAACACACAGGTGCATCGTTCTGCAACGATTCTGTCTGTCTGTCTGTCTGTGTGTGTGTGTGTGTGTGTGTGTGAGTGATGTGATGCTTACTGCCATAAACAAAGTTTTTCCCTGTGTCTCCCCGCGTGTGTGTGTTCTTTGTTGTGCTCTCTCTTTCTCTCTCGCTGTCAACGCTAATGTCATCCAAGCTGAGGTTTCTCTCTGTCCATGCAGTCCGATCTGTAGTACCTCGCAACCCACTCCCCCTCCCCCTCCCCCTCCCCCTCCCTAGTAGATTCATTGGCCATCGTCATCGTCATCGTCGACTCTGTCATCATCATTGTTCCCCATCATTGTTTTCAGGTTGTTCGTGCCGCTGCTCTTGTCGTGTCGCTTTTCCCAGGGGAACTAGGGTTTTTAATTGCAATTAATTTTCGACATTCCCGTAGGTACCCGTTTGGAAGTAGCTGCCTTAAGTGCCAGTTCATGATGACTCTGTTGAGGTACTCTCGATTTCATATCGATTATCCGAGAGTGTAAGCAGAGAGTGATAATGAACCACTATCGTCATCCACAAACTACTTAATGGATCCTAATGTATACGTTTTTCTGCCATAGCATTTATCAAGAAATAAATCTTTAAAGTAGGTTTGGTAATTATCTGGAATATATTTTATACAAAGGGACCAAATTATGAATTGTTTTTCATAGTGCGAGAAATATTTCTTATTTCTCTAAACAACTCTCAAATATTTCGCATTTCCAGCACTTCTTTAGTTATTGATTCTTAGGGAATTGTAAATGTATAACTCGCAGATCCTCTCGGCCATTCTCTCACTCTCTCTTCCGCTGTACTGATTCCCACATTAATTGGTTAAAGCCTGGCCACACACTCGCACTTGAGTCACTATTCGGGACATTATTCATATGGCAATTTATTGATTTGACCACGAGACTCGTAAATAAATTACCACTACATATTTGATGCAGTTTTTTTTTTTCGATTTCCAATTGAATTACGCGCTTTGTTGTTACTCAATTAACTTTTAATTATCCGCAAATGCGATTGAAACTTACTGAATACCTGATTGACTGCCTGATTGATTCACTGGCGCACTGAATGAATGACTAAATGAATGAATAAATGAGTGACTTACTAACAAAATGAACGCCACAGCAGCGAGTGGTCAAACTCAACTCCAAACTCAGACAGCGACAATTGGAAAACGGAGTAAGCCCAAAACGGAAAAACGGGAAAACTGAATGCTAAAACCAGAAAACACACAGAAACCCACACACAAACAAACTCACAATAAAAAACAAACACGATAGGAACCAAACCAAACCAAGCCGAAGCGAACCACACAAAAATAATGGGAAAAGTGAAATAAAGAGCGAAGCGCGGTAAAAACTTCAGTTGTCATGGCCACTAATTGAAAACACATCCCCCGAGGGGGATGGAAAAGCGTGGAAATTTGCCACCAAGCTCACAGCGGGACATGCCAGCAAAAGCGAAAGCGAAAGCCAAAAGGGATGTGCCCCGGGAATGCTCCGCAAATGAGTGGCAGCGGCACAGGTGTCCCATCGAAGGCGGAAGATGGCGTACAACCCCCTCAAGTGGAGGTCCCAGCAAAAGGAGGTCTTCGATTGAGGTTATTATGAATTCGTTGGAGGTATCATCGGTTCGTATTTAGGGTTACATTTATATGTAGATAATATTTGAAATATTTATTTTTAAACTGAAAACAATCAAGCTAATTATTCCCAAGATGCCGCGTTGTGTTGTGGCCAAATCCGTGCATAGAAATAATTGAAAGCCCCACCCCTAAGCCGTAATTAACTAACAAATTGATAAATCTCTGGTCCCCCGTGCGAGTGTCCCATACTTTCAACCCGTTTTCGGGAACTTTCATACTCGTATATGTATCCGCTCCCTGGCCAGCAATTTCATTTGTCTATCCCTTGGGTTTGGGGCCTTTTCGGGATCCCATTTGGTGGACATTTTTTGCGCTGACAACATTATGGAGCTGGAGCCCGGACTGGCATCGTTGGTATTATGAATTATTTTCTTGCATGCCTGGGCAGCACTTTTTCCGCATTTCCTGCTGCCACAGAGGGCCTCTTGTTGGAGTTCTCCCCTCCGCTCCTACCACCTCACCTCGCGCTGCTGCTCGCTTCGTTTTGTTTTTTATTTTCAATTTTAATGCGCGCCCGCCGCCCGCACAAGGAATTTGTGTCAAGTGCGTGAATTTTCGTGAGGCTGGCTGGCACTGGGCCTGGTACCCTGGTTGGGGATCTTTTTTCCTTTTCCGAAAGGCGAGCGCCTAATTTAGTGCCTCTATAGTGAGGAGGGGGAGTGGCATTGGAGGAGTCTCTGGAGTGGGCAAAGGGAAAGGGACTTTCGGACTTTGGGACTTTGGTGCGCGGCGGTCACGTTGGCATGCGCCTTGTTATTATTATTTTATTACTAAGTCGTTGTTCGCTCGTTTTCTAATTAATGCGTTTTTTTCTCGTCGTCCCTCTATTGCGGGTTTTAGCCGCATTCAATTCCATTCCTGGGCCATTAAACGCCATTAAAATTATGGCAGCTAATGCGTCGAATGACTGCTCCCTGCCGCTGACTGTCGCCTTAACCGGAAATTTCGTTCTTTTCGACCAAAACAGTAAGGGCTAAGAGCAAAAAACAACCAAGAAATATTGTCACCAGAATGTCCGAGGCAACAGATACCCTTGCAGCAAGGATTTATTCCCAGAAGTAAATGTTCGAATGGAACCCACGGTCTGATGTCTGCATAATCTGTGGGAAATACAGTCGGCAGTCTGCTGTACCCCTTCGAAAAGGGTATTCAAATGCCAGCGACAGCAGCCAAATATTAATTATTCCAAATTTCCGGCTGTCGCGTTGTCCGGCAGCAAAACAAAGAGAGGAGTAGAACACGGAATGTGGACTAGAACGGAAGGAGCAGCCAGCAGCCAGCAGCATAAGCTGTGGAAATATTTTATAGATATTCTCAGAGCTCCACATGCCATGGGGCTGGATACATGCATATTTCGTTATACCTTTCATTAAACATAATTATGGCATTAGGAGAAGTGGTTCATTCTGGTGGAAGAACTGAGGCATAAGGGAATCAGTGTCAAAGATAAATGTTCCATTAGAAATATGATTTGTTTCTGATGTGTAAGATATTGTACAGCTAGCTGGTGGTGGTTTACTAGAATGGTGATGGGAATACACGCGTCATGCGGCAGCACACCTCGATCGCTGGGGCGTGCTCTTCGGCTTGCTTGCTGTAATTTAATTTAATTTACAAACATGTGGCAAGTGGAGTCCTGCCCCCACAGCATTTCACTTTAATGAATCACTTTCGATTAGGATTACACATGGAAAAAAACTACTTTTAAACGGTTGCAATGCCATTTATTTCCTTTTAAGCGGCTGACATTAAGAATTAATTACGTTTCCGTTTCCGTTTCTCTTATCTTCCACAGATTGCATCTTCTTCTCCGAAATGGCAACAGGGACACATCAATACGAATGCTCCACACTGATTGAGACAGGCTGAGAGAGAGAGAAGCGACAGATTTAGCCCCATAGAAAGAGCGAAAAAGAAAGGAAAAATGTGCAGAGGCAGCGATTCAGCAGCAGAAGCAGAAGCAGAAGCAGCAGCACTGGCAAACTTATTAGCGAAATGCACGAAGTCAACAAACGGACACGACTCCAGACCCATATCCACACCTACACCCACAGACATGCCCAGACCCACATCTAGGACTCTCGGCAGCAGCAACGGCAACATCAGCACTAACAATTGTCAACAGGCTGGGAGTGCGGCAGGAGGCGTCAGCCAGGAGCCGAAAAAACAAGCAGCCAACCGTCAAAACATGCACCCCGAGGAGGAGCAGCAGCAGAAGGAGGAGCAGCTCCCACTCCGGCATAATCAGCGTCAGCAGCAAGGACATCAAATAGAGAAAATGGCAATGGCAGAGGGACTGCCACGAGACGCTGCCAAGGAACACGAACACAAACAGCAGGCAGAGCGCCAGAGTCAGAGCCAGAGCCAGAACAGACCTAGAAAATGCAGAAGCAAACACCAGCAAGAGAGGCAGCAGAAGCAGCCTCTCCTTCGACAAGACCCGAGACAATGTCGTCGAAATTGCAATAATGTTGCCGGAGTGCAACGGCAATGGAGGAAGCATGTCCTGTGGCTGCTGCCGGTGTTGCTGGCGATGATTCTGTCCGGAACCGCAGCAGGAGCGATGACACCTTCGGCCAGGATAGCCCGCTCCCCGGCTGCCGTCGCCAGTGGCCTCCTCATCGCCAGTGCCAAAGGCAGTGCACGTGAGCTGCTCTACGCCGATCTGGGTGTGCCCAGTGGTGGCTCCACGGGGGCTGGCTCATCCTCGTCAGGCGGTGTAGGCGGTGGCGGTGGAGCTGCTGGCATCGAGTGCCCCAGCTTTGACGACAACTCAGCCTGCCCCTGCTACAAGTTCGAGGATGGTAAGTGCGAATGGTCGACCGAACTAATTAAACGCATCAAGCCGGGACAGTCCTCCAGGACAGGCTCCCAGTTTGGCTCCGAGTTGGCAGAGTAAAGTTTATTGCGCCCCGAACGTGTGGACGAGCCCGATAGCAAATCAGAGATCCTTGGGGGCCAGCAGCAGCACATTTAATGTGTATTCCAGGCAGGATTTGTTTGCTTTGACACCCGAGCATCATCATTTTATCAGCAGTCGGCAGTCAGCAGTCAGCAGTCAGCAGTCATGTTGGAGGTGGTCTGTCCTGAGGTTGTGGCATTAAAGCTGCTGCTGTTGTGCATGTTGCACATCCATCAACGACGCTTATTCCCCGCCGATCAATTGTGGAAGTGTTAAACCGATGGATGGATGCAACAGGAGCTGTGTTGGTTCATTGTCCTGTCATGCTCCTTTGTCTGTCCCAATTCCATCAAGAGTATTGACTGGCAGGCGTGGCAAGCCGCACACACACACACACTCATACACACAGGGGCCGAGGGGTGGGCGAATATGTCAAGAATAATAATATACATTACAATGCATAATGAGAACAGGAGACTCAGACACACAGAGATTCAGACAGTTGCCTTGGAGGGACACGTGACGGGGGAACTAATTGAAATGCGTTGCACAAATGTCTACCGATTATTGCATTAACACATGAATATTTATCTCCCCTTTTGTTTCTGCAGGACTCTTCCTGGAGTGCCCCGGAACGACGGCTCTGTCGCTGCGCTCGACCCTAGAGCGGATCTCGGCGCCGATCCACTCGCTGTCCATTTACGACTTTGATCGCTCCGTCACGTCACTGTCTCAGGACGTTTTCCAGCCGGGCGTCCACATTCGCCACTTGCAGTTCTCCCACTCTCACCTGGAGGCCCTCAAGGACAACAGCCTGCGGAACGTGCGCTCCAGCCTCGAGTCTCTCAGCATTGTGAATGGCAAATTGACGCAGGTAAGTTCCCTAGGAGACCTTTAGTTAAGTTATTCAAACATTTTTGTGGTCTAAATCGGTAAACAAATATTGGTTTAAGCTCAAATTAACGGCTTTTGAAGACTGATTACGCGAATTGCTGTTCAATAGGCGCTAAGTGCATATTGTTTACATCAATTCTACGTGTGTTTCTACATGCACTTGCATTGCATACTTTCGGGCGGTGAATATAAGAGTGAGAGAGAGAGAGAGAGAGTTCCGCAGCGTTGCCAGACCACAGAGCAGGAGCGGTGGCAACATACGGCGCCGAATATTTACCAACAAAGTTGGGAAAACCAAAAAAATAAAAAAGAAGGAAAAATGCAAATGGCTTTCTAAGCCATTAAATTTCGAAAAACAGCCGCCACAGCGGCATGCCCAAGCGCTGCGAGTCTAGGCCCATCCAGCATTCAACAGGGGCAAGTGGCAAGTGGCATGTGGCAAGCGGGGCAGCGGCAGCGCCCGCCGCCGCCAGCCATAAAAAGTAATTTTCCGCCGCGCAAAATAACAAACGAGCCAAAGCCAGAAACAATTGCGTTCAATAAAATAATTTGCAGGCGCAAGGCGGCCAGGCGGAAACCCGCAAAATCCAGAAAGAAAAGCACGGCACAGAGGGTGTGACGAGTGCTCCAAAAAGCTGTTAAGGTAGCTCCGAAATAAAAGGCAAACCATGACAGAACATATGAAACCGAAGATAAAAGATACTTTTAAAGTAAGGAATAAGCTCAAGGAATGACTCGCATATTTATGGAACAGTTCGAATTTTTGATAGGGAGCCTCTGCCACAAGAATCTTCACAGTTAAAGCTGTCCGAAAACTAAAGAACACTTTATAATTCATACTCTATCAGCATCACTTATTCTGTTGCTCATGCTCTGCCTGTTCGTGGGTAACAGCTTTTGGTGCTTCGCGTATGGGCAGGGGCAGGCAGGGCCTGGGGTTATCGCTGACCCTGGCCGCACCACAGCGACGTTTGTCCGTGCGATGCCAGTCTGCAAAAAGGGTTTGTTGGCCAGAGATTAGATTGTGCAGATCCTGCCAATCGGATCACTCACTGTGTCGCGGCGTGTCTTGGCAGTTCTGGTGGCGCAGCTGGCAGACATTGGCCAGCAGCTGGCACTCCTTTTGGTTGTTGGTGCGCACGCATATCTCCGCCGAGTGGGGCGTGCGCTTGCAGTTGACGCGCCGCCCGGGACAGCCATCGTTGCAGGGGCGTCTGTACAAGTGCCCCACGCCAGCGACAAAGCGGCACTCCCGCACAGCCACGTGCCACACAGCGGCAGGCTTTCCATTGTGATGCGCCTCCAGCAGGTGGCAGATGTTGTTGAAGCGCTGGCACTTGCCATCGGGAAACCTGCCGCAGACACGCGGACTGTTGTGCATGCACACGGGTGGCAGCAAGCAGATGGACGTTCTAACAGTGGTGCTGCTGCTGCTTTCGGAGCTGTTGGCGGTGCTGCTGCTGCTGCTGTTGCTGCTTACCAGCAGGCTCAGTGCTGTGGGGAAAGTTATTTCTTGGTTAATTTGTTCACCCTTTTGGTGGGGCCGCTCACCAAAGACCATGACCATGATGCACTGCCACTGGCTATGCATCTTGAAGCTGTGCGGGAACTGTCGCTCCTCTGTTTATTTATATCGATTACACAGACAGATTGCAACTCTTTTGTCTGGCTTTCAGTTTCGTGTCGTGCTTCCTCCCGTGTGATTTCAGAAATTGTTTACACTTTGGGAATTTTATAAAACTGATTGTCAATTATGACACTTGAGTGCGAGTAGATCTGTCGCGTATTACCGCTGGATATGCCCTTTCATTCTGCATATTGTTTATCGAAAACAACAGAACAGATGGCGCGCATTGAATATTCATTTTTGGGGTTTATTCTTTGGACTCCATAAATAGGCGACTCGGCGTGCAAACAGGCATCACTCTTCTGCAGTCCGTTGAGAAGAGAATTCCACACAATCACAGCCATGTCCAAGTTATGCGTTCTTCTGGTGCTCGTTGTACTCGTGGCGGCCATTGAGGCCGATGGCGGCCGCCGTCGTCCGCCCTGCGCTGGCCGCTGCAACAAGAAGGATCTGCTGAGCCGCCGGACAGTCTGCATACGTGACAGCCGCACCAAAACGTGCACCAAGCTGCTGGCCTGCCGTCTGCGTGAGAAGAACTGCGCGCGGCGCGACAATGGCCTGGAGCCGGTGAAGCAGACTTGTGTCACGAGGTGCCGCAACATTCTCGGAGGCAGCGGCGCCTCGGGCCGATGTGCTCCCCGTCTGCGCACACCGTCGCCGGTCAGCCACGATGGCAAGCGCGTGAGGGAGTGCCGCCAGCGAAGGTGCCTGGAGGACAAGGTGGCCAGCTGCTGGACGGACCGACAGGGTGGCTGCAGCGTCCAGAGCCGCTGCGAGGCCAGGCGCAGGAACTGCTCCAGGAAGCCCACCAACCAATGGATCCGCACCGAGCAGTGGCGCTGCAGCGGCATCATCCAGGGCGAGGGCGGCCGCAGATGCCGCACCCGTACCATCATCGACAAGGATTAGACTCCATCTGTTTAGAATCTGTGACTGAACCCCGAGAATCCGTAACTTATTTTTGTTTTCTGTTGTATTCGCTGTTCACTGTCTTTCAAATTCAAAATGTCCATAAATATTTCATAATGTGCCAACAATAAAAATAAATATCATTTTATGGCAGACCATTTTCTCCTCTTTTTCCCACATTTTTCCGCTCTACGGCTCCTCTACGGCAGTCTCTTGTGCACTTCTGGCCAGTCGGGCAATGACTTGCCCATAAATTTCGGCAGAATCGTGGAAGGGCCGGGACGGTACGCGCTTCCAAGGCGCCAAACGGCGCCACGTCGCAGAGGTTCAATAAATTAAAATCGACTGCCATAAATTTCCGTGTCAGTACATTAATTAAAAGGCCGTAATTCGCATTCCAATTTCACACCCACAAGCGCCACACAGCGGACATTAAGTGAAACTAAAGGAATCAAAATCACATCACAGAAAGCACAGAAAATTAAACCAACACTACCAAGTGACAAGTTTGCCATTCTTGCAACACAAAAAAATACCAAGGAATTATCTGCCACATATGGCAACAGAGAGTGAAGGGAAAAATATTAAATATGTCTAAAAAAAATAGTCGTAGAATTTTTTCATCCGGCGAGGATAAGGATCAAACTCAAGACAGCAAACCACAAATGTGCGAAAACGTTGGGTTTGTTGATGCGGAAAGTGTCCACCTTCACGCATGCCGGCGTGAGGAGTGCTCAACGTAAGTATAACGAGTTCATTCACTCTCAACGAACACCAATCCTAAACGGCAATCATCACTCAGCAAAAACTTCGAAGCAATCTCAGGCACGCTGCGCAGTGTGGGGACGCAAACCGGGACACAATCAGACAGTTCAACAATTAAAATAGAGCAAGCACTAGTTGAGAATTTTGGTAACGAACAGGTAAGTAGCTACTAGCCATTTGGTTGTACATTTATGTACACATATGGATATACGCAGGGCATCCCGAAGACGAATGCCGCTAAATGGCAGTGGCCAAAGTTGAACAATTATCCAAAGGTGAAGAAGGAAGCACCGGAAGCAAGCATGGTGCTGGCATCCAGAGCCGTATATCCATTTCGCATTGTAAATCGGATGGGGTTTCAATTCCCATGGGCCACTCTCGAACGTCAACGGTGCAAGCGCCCCTGTGTCCACACGGCTAACGTAACCTCGATTCCATTGGAGTCGGTGAAGATCTACATTGGTAACCTGAGCCCACTTGTCAAACAGGAGGACATCGGCCAGATCTTTGGGCACTTCGGGGAGATGCGAACGGTCGAGTTTCCTACCGACCGAAACCCCATCAATCCCCAGGGACGTGGCTTTGCCTTTGTGCAGTACGTCTGCCCAAGTGACTGCGCACGGGCCATAGACTACATGAACGGTTGCAAATTCGGTGACACGTTTATTGTGGTGTCGAAGATCCACAAGAAACCGGTCCATTATAACAATATTCGCTACGATACGCTTTCACCGCGTTCTCATCGTTCGCATCGTTCTAATCGTGATGACAGCCGCAGGCACCGTTTCCCATCGTCCTACCACAATTCAAGCTGGAATAGACGTGAACTTTCCCGATTGCCCATGCGTCAGCGTGCTGTATCGCCTTCGAGCATGAGTGTTCTCCAGTCTCGACATAGGGCCGCCTATTCACCTATCACACCATCAAAACGCAGTCGACGCACTAACCCAGCCACTACGGGCGGTCCCGTGATGGGACTGGGTGCGCCCAAGCAGGAAAATCTGCAGCCTTTCTTAGCGATCAAGCTGGAGAACACTGACGATGCGGTGATGTATCCGCAGTCTCCAGGCACAGCAACTCCTCAGAATCTGCAGCCTCTCTTAGCGATCAAGCTGGAGAACACTGATGATGCGGTGATGTATCCGCAGTCTCCAGGCACAGCAACTCCTCAGAATCTGCAGCCTCTCTTAGCGATCAAGCAGGAGAACACTGACGATGCGGTGATGTATCCCCAGTCACCAGGCACAGCAACTCCTCAAAATCTGCAGCCTCTCTTAGCGATCAAGCAGGAGAACACTGACGATGCGATGATGTATCCGCAGTCTCCAGGCACAGCAACTCCTCAGAATCTCCAGCCTCTCTTAGCGATCAAGCTGGAGAACACTGACGATGCGGTGATGTATCCCCAGTCACCAGGCACAGCAACTCCTCAAAATCTGCAGCCTCTCTTAGCGATCAAGCTGGAGAACACTGACGATGCGATGATGTATCCCCAGTCTCCAGGCACAGCAACTCCTCAGAATCTGCAGCCTCTCTTGGTGCCCATGCTGGAGAACACTGACGATGCGGTGATGTACCCGCAGTCTCCAGGAACAGCAACTCCTCAGAATCTGCAGCCTCTCTTGGCGATCAAGCTGGAGAACACTGACAATGCGGTGATGTATCGCAAGTCTGCGCACAGAGCATACATCGAGAAGTTCATGAATCGCTGTTCCAATGGTGAGCGTTTTTCCACTTCATTCTGTAACCATGCAACTAGCGGATCGGTTTATCCTCGCATCCTTACCCTTTCCAGCAAAAAAAAAAGAAGCAATCGCCGATTTGCTGGCCGCGAGCACGATGTTAAGAGTAAAAGGTGAAAGGTTGCTAAAGCTTTGTCAACGCTCCTCCCGCTCCGGCAATTCCAATCAAGACACCCAATAAAAATCGCTGTCATCCCGAAGACGAATGCCGCTAAATGACAGTGGCCAAAGTTGAACAATTATCCAAAGGTGAAGAAGGAAGCACCGGAAGCACTTTTGCTGTGACCCAGAAAAATTGACTCGAAGCTCAAAGCTCGGACACACTCCGCCACACTCCGCCACATACAAGCCCTTCAATGGGAGGACTCTGTAAATGATGCTACATTTAATAAACAAAAAGACACATCTGGGAAATAATTTCACTTAACTTTCGAAGGCGTTCCGTGTTCCATGGAAATGCTACCTCCTTGACTCTGGTGCCTCGATCCGTTCCATAATTGTGGAGTGATTCCCGGCAGTCTGCAAGTGAATGTGAATGGGGGAAGTATTAACCGTAATAGCCGAAAATGATATTCAAATTCAATAACTGGTAGCCATAACTGCTTCGGCAGCTCGGGAATTGAATTGGAGGATATATTTTTGGTTGATTTGGAATCACTTGTGGACTTCGGACAAATATGCAAGCACGGGGGTGCACCTCTGTCGGTCTCCGACTCCACCTCAGCCACTCGTGCAACCTGTGCATAGTTTTCGGTGATTGGCATCGAAAACAATTTCGCGGCATTGGCAAGAAGGTGAAACGGTCAAAACAGGTGAACAAACACGCGCCCCAAACGTAGGGCGGTTGCACCCGCTGCTCGGGAGCTTCGGGTGCGGTGCCTGTGAGGGAGGTTGGGACTGATTTTTAACTGGCATGCTGCATGGATTGCCCATGGGACTGTTGCACAATGGCGGTGTGTTTAATTACAGATTTAGCGGCCAACAAAAGTAGCCAACATTATCCAGTAGCACCAGCACAAAGGCAGCGCCCAGCGAAAGCGAAAGCGAAAGCAGAGCAAGGAAACAAATGACACAGCTGCTGCCAGGTGTTGGGTGGCGTAATAATACTTAAAGTCAGGCGGCGACAGCGACAGCGACAGCGACATATGTATCCATGTGGCACACATCAGGCATGCGGTGTTCCACCTGTAAAAGAATCAATCAGTTATGGCAATAAGGCTGCACAGAATGCGACACGTGATTTCAAGCGCTCATTTCCGTTCATTTTTTCACTGTGTTTGTTTAATTGTTTGCATTTGCACACACCCGCGCTTTGACTATCGATAATAGAAAGCGTTCGGTTCCATGCGAATGGCCAATGCGCCCTCCTGTGACTGCAATTATTGTTTATTTTAATATTTGTGTGAAAGTCTTTCATAGCATCAAGACATTGGAAGCTG